GGAAATTTCCTCATTGTAAGGGAACTTATTTAGAAGTTGGACACATTCTAAAAACATTTTAATAATCGTAATTTAGCTTTGGTTTTGCTGCTCATTTGAAGATATCAATAGTTTAGAGCGAGTTCGTGAATAACTTCTCCTTCCAAGGGACGTTTCTTTTCCAGACATTAAGTAGCCAAGTACTGATTGGATAAACTTTTGAGCGGAAAATGCGTTTTACGCAAGATGACGTGATTGTCATCGACAAGGGTTGCATCCAACAATTGCAGGAAAAGGGAATGCGACTGTAATACAGTGAGAAAACTGAAGTCAGATCTTTGAATTGTTTCCTGTCAAACAGGTGAAATCCAGTCGTAGCCTTTAACATTTGCCTCTGGGCACTTTGCTTGATTCTTAGGATTGCGATCTCCTCAAGTCTCACGAACCGATCGGTCATGAAGTCGACGGACAATCTTAGACACACTATTCGCCTGACCTTTGGATCGTGTCTGTAGGCCTGCATAGGCTCACAACGAGTCAAATTATACAAGTTCAAGAATGGAAGATCTCCTTAGAGGAGGATCCAAACCAGATCCCCAGGCCCTTCCCAAATGCTCCACCTAAAGCCATTACACGCATTCACGACCGTACCACCGAACCCATACACTTCACCAAAAATGAGGCACGTATTTCTTGCACTTCGATATAACTTAGTGTTGGAGTTACCTTGGCCAACTTCGGTCTGGAGGGTGAGAATTTCTCTTTCCTTTGTCGTAGTCATGTAGAAGGTAATGTTGTTCAGTCCAGCTAGACCATTAATTAGAAGCTCATCGTTCGTCGATTGGGTATCTGCTGATATTTCTTCAAAGAAAACAAAGAATAAATGAAAGTTCGTTTAACATTGCATTTAGTAAGAAAACTTAAACTAGTGTCGCAACGTAAGTGTAAACCTGAAAGAGCATTCCAAGGTGCATAAGTGAATAATTTGGCCACTTCTAGAAGAAAAATTTTCCTGTCGTTCTACTCTTATCAGGAGATGTTCAACAAGTTTGGTTCTAACTCAAACAGACCAAGAGGATGAGTTGGCGAGAAACTTTGAAAAGCCTAACAACGAGTAGGTCATAGTTAAGAATATTTTGAAATGTTGCACGACATGCTAATATGCGGTGGGGATGGCTGCTATGCTGAAGCAAAAGAATATTGCAGGGCTTGTATTCTGTTCGACTGAGCATCAAAAGTGATCACAAGGCATCAAAGTGACTTTCGCCCACTTTAGTGTGCTACCAACGATAATGGACGTTTGTTATCCCCGTCATTGGCAGTACTTGCAGTAGTGCACTGCTTATTTCCAGCTGATGGATGGTTGATAAAATTCGACTTACTCAGTAGTCGAAGCAACACGGAAGTGCATTCGGGCGTATCCGCAGCTATGATGCCGCCTGCAGCTCCAACACAGGCATTGACAATGATACGAGTTAACTTGATTAGCGCATCATAAATTATAGGATTTGATTTCGCTGGATTAAAGAAAAAGTGTTAAATTACAGGCCATTTCATTGTCAAGAGACGTCGATTAAATGCGACCATCTTAGATTTGTTTACTTATGTCAATTAAGTAGCGCATCCAAGATGAATTTTGTTTCGTGCCCAACTTACAT